GTCTATTTCTCTTTTTCTCTTCCTCTTTCTCTCTCTTCCCTTTCTCTTTCTCTCCCTCTCTATCTCTCTCTTTCTCCCCCTCCCTTTCTTTCTCTCTCCCTATCCTTTTCTCCCTCCCTCTTCTCTTTCTCTCTCTTCCTTTATTTCTCTCTCTTTCTTTCCTTCTCTGTTTCCCTCTCTCTCTCTCTCTCTCTCTCTCACCCAAGCACATGCACGCAACAAATACACAAACACAGTTCTGCAGTCCATCTCCGAGCAACATGGGGTTATTTGTGTTGGCAAGACCTTGGGCTCTTCTAAATAAATCGAGGTGGCAAGGACATTTGCTGGGGGCTGCCTGGCCCGAAACAGGATCCCACAGCCCCCCCTCCCCTCCCCGCCCGGCTCTGCTCTGCCTGCCAACCTCATCATCTAAATATTACAAGGGTATTTTAAACTTGCAACAGCTGACATCAAGTGTAACAGGCTGTCATTCAGGAGTCTCTCTCTCTCTCTCTCTCTCTCTCTCTCTCTCTCTCTCTCTCTCTGTGTGTGTGTTTTTCAGGGAAAATGTTGGCTTTGATGACCAACAAATGGATTTTATTTTACTTAGTTTTCTTTCAAACACTGGCTTGTCCTTTTATTTTTATTTTCCTTCCTTCCTTCCTTCCTTCCTTCCTTCCATCCACCCACCCACCCATCCATCCATCTTCTCTCTCTCTTTCCTATCCTTCCTTCCTTCCTTCCTTCATTTCTTTTTCTTTCCTTCCTTCCTCTTCTTTCTTTCTTTCTTTCTCTCCCTCCCTCCCTCCCTCCCTTCATTCTTTCCTTCCCTCCCTTCCTCCCTCTTCCTCCTTTTCTTTCTTTCTTTCTTTCTTTCTTTCTTTCTTTCTTTCTTTCTTTCTTTCTTTCTTTTTCTTTCTTTCTTTCTTTCTTTCTTTCTTTCTTTCCTCCCTCCATTTTTCCTTCTTTCTCTCCTTCCTTCCTTCCTTTCCTTCCTCTCCCTCCCTCCCTCCCATTTTCCCTCCCTCCCTCCCTCTTTCCTCCCTCTCTTTTTCCTTCCTTCTTCTCTTCTCTCTTCCTCTTTTTTCTTTCTTTCTTTCCTTTTCTTTCCTTTTCCT